TGTGTGTGTGTGTGTGTGTGTGTGTGTGTGTGTGTGTGTGTGAAGGAGAGAGACAGAGACAGAGATGTGGGTCTAATAGATTCTAATTGGGTTTTGATGAGTGAGAGAGATCAAACCCAACCTCACACACATACAACCACAATAACTACACTATGTGGCCAAAAGTATGCGGACACCCCTGTCCAGCTACTTTTGTGTACCAGTATTTTTGCTGTCTGAGGCTTTTTTTGTCTATTAATGGACAGTGTCTCTTGACATTTAAGTTTTTATTGATTTTAAAGAAAGGGTTGGCACACGGTAACAAGTAGACACTATAACAAGACGTAGTGTCACGGTCGGGCAAAAAGCCAACTGGAGATAGATCAATATGCAGATAGACACGGGAAACAGAAGGACAATAAACATTGATTTGAATAAAGAAATGTCCAAAACAAAACTTTCTTGCCAGGTAGGTACAAAAGTAGTAACTACAAATCCAAGAGGCAAAGCGACACGGACCAGGTAAATCAGACATGTGCACAAGGGATACTAACGGGAACATAGCAGACGAACCAACAACCAGCAGACAAAAGACAGGACTATAAATACACAAGAAACTAATCAGACAACAAGACACAGGTGGGCAGACAGTAGGGACCGGGACCAACCGGCAACCTGGAGCAACCAGACCACAGGGTTAACGTTAGCCTGCTAGCAACACAGAGTAGCATATTGCCTAGCTTTGTACCGACTTGGTACCTCAAGGAGACGACGTCTATATTTGATACAGTCTGTGGAAGGTAATAAGAAGATTCTCAAGAAGGCCAATGAATATAATAATACAAATATATTTAATATGTTATAATACAAGTAGTACATATTAAAATGGGCGACCCAGTGCACAATACAACAAGAAGAAAACCTTCAACATTCACTGTGCTTGAAATCTAAACAGGCACTATTCACTATTTACAGGCATGTTTATTTTCATATGTAGGTCCAAAAAAGGTCTTAGTGGGAGGTCCCATCTTCCAAACTTTCTTTTAGAGGAGCAGTGTGTAGGGTTTGGTGGCATCTAGTGGTGAGGTTGGAGATTACAACCAACAGAACGCCGTTTTGCTAACCCTGCTCTTTCCAAGCGTGTCGCAGACATACGGTGGCCTTCAGGTAACCTAAAAAAGGCAAAAGGCCCTCTATAGAGACAGTTTTTGGTTTGTCCATTCTGGGCTACGGTAGAAACATGGCGGTGCAACATGACGGACTCCGTGAAGAGGAGATAACATGCTTACAATAGAGGTAGACATTACTCCCCTATATCTTTACATTGCTAATAGTTGTTTGCTGCTATATTAAGGCTCTGAATCACAACAACACAACAACAACATTAGTATTTGACATCTGTCTCCTAATGAACACAAATCAGGAGTCCTAAGGATTACTGCACCAAATTAACTCGGACGTCAATTACTTTGACCCGGAAACATCTCACTAATGAGATCCAACTTCCATTCTGCACTTCCAGCACAAATTAGAAGTTTCGGTCCGGCTGAGGATGGAATCGATGACAGAATTGCGCATTCTGTTGGATGGTGAGTTTTGTGTTTCCATCTTTAGTGCAGACTCACAGCTTACAAATCGTTATTTGTTTAGTTTGGAACCAAAGAATCCCCAAATAGGCACATTTGCATTCCTTTTGCTAATGAGAACGGACTTCATTCCTGCTGGAGCTAGGACTACTTGGGTAATTACCAGGGCTGTACCGAATAGTTCAAAGCTTCATTCACAACGCTGCCATTTACATTAATATCATTAAAAATGTACAGAAACGTTGCACGCAAGAGTTCACCTGCCTCCAACTTCTTTTCTCCTCTCTCACTCTCAAACACACACACAGCGAGCAATGCAGTGCTGTGTCCTCGTCTCTTAACGAAATATTCCGCTTCAATCCATATTTGTTGGCGTTAAGCCTCTCAAAAACAACATTTTCACTGCGGTTACAGGAACAGCACCATGAATTAGGCTACATTTATACAGTATAACACAAAATCAGACATGTGGTCACTCTTTTCTTGATACGCTACAATGCGGTGAAGCGTAGAGAGAGCTTGGGAAATAATCCTAATAGTTAATTGATTTTTTCGAATTTTATGTTAAGTTATATGATATCTAAACCAGCAGGTCACAACATTTTAGACAATACTGTGTTTCCAACTTTGTGGCAACTTTGAGCCAGCCCTCATTGCCCAACATTACTGCTGCTCTTGTGGCCCGAATGGGAGCAGATCTCTACAGCCAGCTTCCAAAATCTTGTGGAAAAACCTTCCCAAAGGTGTGGAGGCTCTTATGAAAAGTCCAACAATCAATGGGTGTCATGCCACATAGTGCCGGAAACCAGGCCCCCCCAAGGTCACTCAAGTAGACAACATACATTTACATTCACACACATTAAAGAAAAGTGTGAAAGTCGAATGTGTTCGAACGGAATTGGTGAGAGAGGTTGGACGGTGTGAGTGTGAGAAGGCAAATTTGATTAAAGAGAGAGAAGGAACTCCTTCTAGTACCGTATAGCTTCCCGTAAAGACTAAGACCTTTATTGAGTCAAATTCCAGGTCGGCTTATGGCCGCACGACCCGCCGTCTCCAACCGGGCCGATTATTGAATACGCCGTCACACACACGCACACACACACACATGGAGCAACCTGAGGCCTTGTTGTGAGGCGACATTGATGACGCGTGTTGGATGGGATAATCTCTCCAGCTGTACTCTGCCCCGCAGAGTGAGGCTCATTCCCCCCCAAAAAAAGCTCACTGAGGTTTTTCCACACACTGACCCCCCCCCCTGCTTTTTCTGAAGCTTACCAAGCACTAGTACGCTACCTGAATCAACTTTGTGTTGATCCGTCACGGTCCATCGCTACTGATTTGATGACTGGGTAGTACATGTGCTGAGTTTAGTCTGCGCCCCGCATGCAGCAGAAAGCCTGACATGAAGAGTCAGCTTCATATTTACAGAACGTGGCTTTGAAATGGGCCACAGGACCGTAATTCAGTGACGCGTCTCCCCCTGTTGGTTTGATACAGACATCACATAGCTTTGATTCATGATATCTGTCTAAAGGAAATTACCCACTGAGCTGTAACTTTTTATGACTATTAGCAGCTCTTTTACCAAAGTTAGAAAAAGCTTTTTGACTTGTCAGTGTTCAACCTGGTTCATATGTAATGTCAGACTTTTCAGAGACTTTGGGGGAAAAAGGAGATGTGAATCCCCGGAGATCCTCAAACCTCCTCGGGACCATCGGGCAGACATAACAGTCTGTCATGTGGTGCGGACGGGGCCTCACTTTCATTATATATATGTGTACATTTTGTTATTAATAGTGTGTTCAGTTTGCAACTGTTTAGCTTCTGTAGTTATTAAATATCTTTTGTTTTGATTATAACCTGCACCAGCTGTCTTTTTGGCCGAAGGACGACACAGCACATGGGGAGGGCCGGTCTTTCTCTTTGTTCAAACCCTAACACATTATGAATCCAAATTTACAAATGTAGTGTCATATTTCCTCATCGCTTGGAGCTTTTAATGCCCACATCACGTTTTCGTTAAAAACAAAAACGATCCATTTAGTGTCACTGCATCCGAGGGGACGTTAGCTCGCTAAGAGTGGCAAAACAATGTGTTGTAATATTCAAACGGAACATGTCATTGAAATGATGCATTTTGATTTCATGTGTTTCTTGAGCCTATTTATATATAAAAATAACTAGCTTTATAAATAATGAAGAAAAATATGTTTTTTTTATTCCAAGTGTAACAATTTGGCAGTATCTCCCCTGCCCGATATACAGTGGTTGAGAACAGCCGATGTAAAGAAAGAGGTCACAAATAATAGCTGATATTGCCTATTTTTTGCTTTCTGCGAAGAAAGTCATTTTGATGAAACAGGATGCACAACCACACTTTTTTATTTTAGACTATTTTAGCATGAGAAGAGCTACTATGATGTTCAGGAACAGCTCCAAGAACCTCTGGTTAGTTTTTACTTTCATTTTTCTAACCAATTAACCCACCAGATTCTTGAGCTCTACATGACACTACTGCAGTATATTTTAAAATGGTCCAAAAAAAAAGACAAAAAGAAAGTTGCAACCGCCAACATTGTTGTGGCGTGCCAGATGACATTATCTTCGTTTTCATTTGGCAAGAGGGAAAGTTTAACCGACTCGGAGCGAGTTCTCTCATGCAATCCTTGGCCAATAGAAATACTCTGCGTGGGCGGGATGTGATGACAAGGTGGGAACCAAAGCTGCATTTTCAACTTCACCTCTACTCCGAGAGGCTTCCTTCCACTCTGATCCCTTTGGTGAATGAAAGTATAATAATCACCAGTGGGACATCCTGTCCCCACTAGGGGACAGTCTCATCTGCCTGTCACTCGTTAGGGCAGACAGTGCAGTGTGATAAAGTTAACAACTCCAGCTGGTCGGAGGTCGACTGTATACAGTTAAGAAGAGATCTTACAGTGATAACACGTCTGTAACATTAGTATTGATAGTTGTCCTAAACAGAGTGTATCAAGTATTTTACTGTACATCAGTCACAGAGATGAAAGGCTCATTATCATATTGTTGCCATGGTACTTCAAACTCAGGACAGGACGAAACCAGGCATGACAAAGAGGCTGTGAGTGTGTGAAGTGATCTAACTCAATGGGGCTCTGCGTGATACCCAAACCCGGAGCAGAAAATTACCAGTTTGCGGTTTGACAGCCGGTCTTGGATATTTACTCGGGCTGCGTTTTTTTTAGTGAAGATGAGCTGCATCGCTCCCGTGAGGAGGATTCTCAACGACAAAGGTAAAAGACCTGCCATGCAATTTTAAACAGCCCATCATCACCCATGCAGATTACTGCTAAGCTGTTGTAGCCCTTTCTTCCAGCCCTGCTCCTCTAAAGTGGACTTAAGAGTTCCTCTCACGGAGGGGAGGAGACCGCCTCCACAGTCATTAAATCACTGCCGTTTGATATTCATTAATTCATTCCATTTGCACCGGCCTTATTGGACACGCTGCACATTTCTGGTCAATTCCAATTTTGTGCTTGAACATTGATGAGTGCTGTGAAAGCTGATTACACACTCCGCCTGTGTTTCTCTCCATCAATCCACTTTAATTAGAAGCCAGTGGTCCCTGCAACTTCAGGCTGTTAATCCTCATGCGCCAATTCTTATTGTCGAGTCAAGGGACGTCACGGGTTCGAGGTTCGAAACTGCATCCTGCAGACTTGTATACTGTTAACGTCTCTGTGTCCTGGTTCAGACTGCGCTAGCCGCTATTGACCTGGTTTGGACGTATCGGGTGAGAGGCACTTTCGGGTCTTTTTCGCTGTCATTTTCTCACCAAAGTGTAAGTAATATTAATTTATACGTATCAAAGAATCTACGTGTCAAAACATGAATATATATGGTCGTTTACATCTCTAATTACTCTAGATAAGTGACTGATGATACTTGAGTTGCACTTGGGCGACTCTCGGACGATGATCTTTTACTCTGAAAACTGTCTCTGTATTTTCACAGTACTGCTAATATGAGTCAGCATATGAGTGTATTTTGAATTACGGTCTGGGATGTGTTGACAGCATTGATGGTAATTTTGGCGACCCTGGAACAAGTTAATATCCTCGAGGATTGAAGTTAGTCCGAACCAGGAAGAGGACGGCGCACGGCTAATTCTGGCGCGCGGCTAATTCACCGGCGTTAGCGTCCTTTTACCGACTCTGGCAAAGACAAAGCTAGAGTTTATAATTAAAACGATATTCAGTTAGAAAAGTAAGAAGTTAAACTTTTGTTTAACAACAATAAATCAACTGAAATCATTACATGATCATATCATTATTTCAAGTGATTTTTATTGGAATATTAGCTAAAAACTCTCCAGACTAGCACACACAGATGGTACTTCATATCTGTGTGTGTGTGTGTGTGTGTGTGTGTGTTGCACACCGATGAGTGAGACAGGTCAGTGAGAGGTGGACCTTTGTCTAGGGTCGGACAGCGGGACATTATTTATTCATGCTGACTGATCTGGCCCGTCAGCCTAATTGCACCAGTAGGAGCCCAATTACCCGCGGCGTCCTTTGCAGCCGCACAGTCTCACATTCACAGAAAACTGGAAGTCGGATCGCATGTCAGCCACGAGTAATGCTACACAACTTATTTACATTTGCTTGGCTCAGATTCAACTCTGTAAGCAAACAGTGTCTGTTTGGATGCAAGATGTCAGGAACCGAAAGAGACAAAAAGACGTAGGTGAGGTCTTTATATGCTGCTGTTTTCCCCCTCTCACACAGTGGGCTCCAGCGAGGACGTGAACACAACCTCTGAGATCTTCATCCCACATCAAGACCCCAAGGAGACCCTCCCATTTCTACTTCCCCTTCCTTGTCTCCATTCGTTGTTACAGTCACCAGGTAGACATTTAATCATATTCAAAAGTTTTCAATCTACATTTTCTGGTGAAAGGTTTCTCTCAACATTGAGACATTCATCAAGTAAGAGAAGCGTGGTCGCACACGGATCAAACATGTGTGATGATGACAGCAGCAGTTCAACACAAAGGGGAGATGGCTTTTATTTTGAAAGGAAAGACAAGGCTCTCAAATACACCTGTGTGGCCTCAGGTTGCAGTCAACTATAGCTGAGCTGAACGCACAAGTTGAAGCAGAAAAAACTAAACAAAGCGGTCGCCCCAATTTTGAAACTGTATCCTGAACATCGACTCCTTTTACTGTTTCGGATGGAGCACCTGCAGCGTCAATACACAGTATTACCTCTAAGGGCATGCGCCTTCCACTTCCTCCTCTGATGCCTCTTCCCTCCTCTCATGGCAACGATCTGCTTTAACATCTCAGTGCACTTCCTCCCCTCTCTCTGCAGCCTCTCCTCCGTCAGATCGGGCCTACCTGCAAGCAGCAGCCATCTTCCGCCGGCTGCGCACGGCGAAGCCGGTGACCCAACAACTCCTGCATTATGGGAGGAGGACGGACACGCCGCTACCAGAGAGCGGAGCCAAAACCGCCCAGAGACGGGCCTACCAACTCGCCTTCAGCACACTCAAATGTATTTATCACAGAAGTCACCAGATTTGAGATTTACGTAGAACCACGAGGCAGTCCAGCCAAGAGGCCGGACTGATGGCTAAACATAAAGTCAGAGGAGAAATTAATTTGATCTATTCTCCCACTGTCCCTGCGAAGCCTTAGCCACCTCCTGTACGGGAGGCCTTATCTCTATAATTAATGGCGGTGGAGCTCCAGCATGTGTCAACCCCAATATTCACTTTTGAATTGCGGCTTCAACTGCGGACTGTAGATTAAATAGTATATAGTCGAACATTTCATTCCTCCATGGGACTGCAAATTACTTGAGCTGGAGGTGAAGCAGATGTCTGTATGGGAGGTGATAAGAGGGTGCATGCCATGGAAACACACACACACACACACACACACACACAAATGTACATGTAGCAGTCGTACAGCAAGCACACACAGTATTTGACTGCACGTGTAGGGGGGGCTGGTATCTGCATATAGTTAAAAAATTTGATTTGGCCAGGTTTGGAGATATTGCACTAAGCACAATGAATTTGAATGGACTTGTGGTTCCGTGTTGCAAAAAGCAGTTATAAAATTACATTTAAAGCTGCACTGATGAATATTTTCATATTATCAATGGGTCCCATACACAGAACGTGAAAGGGTTCACGTGTAGTGTGGAACCCACAGAGACATATCACCTCATGTTGCAGTTACCCTCAGCTTTACAGAGCATTTTGACTTATTTTAAATAGTTTTTTTATTTTACCCTTGACTTTACTGTTATGGTTCACTCTCACCACTCTCATCAACGTAATTTCCCCCCCAAAAAAAAAAAATCTAATAAACACACTGTACACTACTAGCCCAGCTGCAGCAAGTGGTTCACAAACAGAGTAACTGACCAGCTGGTGAACCTAGTGGAGCATTTAGCAGCTAAAGACACAGATTTCTTCTCAGGAGAACCAAACCAGAGCAAAAAGTAGAGTGAATATTTGCAGACTTTCGTCAGGTGACCAGAAATGCCACTCTAAATTAAAGACAATGTTGCTGCTGAATGTACAAGTAGGCAACTGCTTACGAACATATTTGACATAGCAACTTTATGAGATGATATTATGTCAGTCTTGTGTCGTCTGCTGCCCCCAAGTGGCCAAAAACAGTCAAATAATGATACCATGATACCAAAAAAAATTGTAGTGGCATCTCTTTACAGAAACAATGCCCTTGCTACTCTGATTAATCGACAGTCTTAAGAAATGGTCCCCATGTTAACTGTTAAAGGCCAGGTCTATGGATTATCTGAAGTAACAAAAACACTATTATTTTAAAGAAACAGTGCTATCAAAATGCTTTTGTTCGTGTTTTTGTCATTTGAAGGAACCAAGCTTTTGAAGTTAGCCTCAGCGTGTCTTAAATGTATCTTACTGATGTTCTGATCATTTTTTTGTCCATTACCAACATTGTTTTCCTCCTAGATCAAGATTTACTGGAGGACATGATTGCCGACAGCTGCTTCCACACGACCCAGCACATTGTGAGTCCCACCAGATTTGACACGAGTGATCTCAAACCCTAACCTGACGCGCCAGATGGTTCGATGCCGTCATAGGAAACCGTTTGGAAAACGGCAGGCACTTTCCCAAAAAAAACATGTGCCAGGTGATTGGATGAACCATCTGTCAATCAGACTCTTATCAAAGCGAACCAGGAGAAAAGCGAAAAACACATTTTCCATCGTGAAAGGCCTTCAGTGTCGTTCTTATTCTTTTTTTTATTGAAGAAATACCCTCCAGTTCTGATATGACTGATGGTATCTACACTAACCTCTTCAGGAGCCACCAATGTCGCTGAGAACGAACAGTCGCCTCTAACTAAAACTAAAAAGCACTTCAGCACTTGTTAAAATGTCTGTGAGTTATCTGTCTTCTAATAAAGCAGCCGTATTCTCTCTGTCCGTATAGATGCGCTCCGTCAGTGTGAGGTAAAATGAGTGAGGGCGACGGGGATGCAGTTAAAGGCCATTTGTATTCAGATCTGTACGTAGTCTGGCTGGTTATAGATGGCAAATGATGCACACAGGAGAGAAGGCAGACGCACTCCCCAACTGGGAGACTATAAATGACACTATAAAACACAGTGCGATGGCACACACATGGACAACGACACACACCTAGCCTGTGTGTGTGTGTGTGTGTGGAAAGAATGATTTTATTGAGGGATGGGTGAAACATACAGAACAGGCTGACAGATCATTAGGCTGAAAGTGTGACTATAAAACCAGTCACGCAGCTCTTTGTGATTCCACACACCTCTTTGCTACAATATAGCCTACTGTACATATTTTACCCCCCCCCCCC